ATATAAAGATTACTTTGGGCAAATGACTGCGCGTTACGCTATTGCTTCCCAAAGTTGGTTCATATTGCTCACCTTTGACCCGTACCGTCACTTTACACAAGACAAAATCCATGTGTTTATCGTATAAACAAAAGAGTCTCAATTGATATTTGTGACATTTAAATCAAATCAGTAGTATTAAGAACAAGGTACTTACATGTTTAGTTCTGAAAGTACTCCAAAGTAGCATTTAAACTGTGTCTTTTTTATACAAAACATCTCATAAATACTCCTGGCTTGTCAAAATGTCAACAGTTATGAAACAGTATATCCTATCCATATCAGGTTAGTGTGTTTTCTGACCATCGGAGTCCGTTACAAGCACTGATTTTAACTGAAATTATTCATATCATTCAGCAGTTGCATGAAAAAACGAAAATGTAAATGAATCTAATATACTTTTACTGTAAATATTAAAATAAACAACAAACCACTGAGCTATACTATATTACTGGAGGACCTGCTCGGGAAAAAAAAGTGAAGCCAAAAACATGGCGGATCTGACGCCATTGCCATGACTACTGGTCCCTAAATTCATGGCAACTACCACTGTCCCAACCGCGATCCTAAGTTTTCGACAATGTACTTCACCTCCCTGGTTTCAGCACAGATATTTTATGATTTCGCTTGTTTTTGAGGTAAAAATCGCACTGAAAATCTTGATATTTTTCTCCTATAACTTGGTTGATTTACAATGTCGAGGATCCTGCCTTTTTGCGCCGCTCGTAGATGTATGAGATGTACAAAAAGAATCTTTTTATTCACCGGTAAGATTTTTATATATTGTAGAAAATTTGAAGCAGAAGTGCAAACTACAAAGTTTATAATACTACGAACATAAAAGTATATGAACAGCAAATTATTAGCAGACATAACAACCTGTAAATGGTTGGCAATTCTGTACATTTTATTGTTCTTTTGATTTGGTACTACTACTGCTATAGCGATATTTGCGTAGGGTTTCATGGCTGGTTTATAATATGATTTCAAAGTCCTTGCTGTAGTGTCTGCACACTTGTATTTATTTAGTATTTTAGTATATTAAATTTTCCTTGACAAACTTTGAGTGATATCCTTGCCAGGTTCTTGCCAGCAGTTGTTTATAATTACTGTGTAGTTATGAAATCTCTCTTACATGACATATGTAGACAAGTGAACAAATACATCAGGTTCAAACCATTCAATACCCATTGCAAACAAGCAATTACCATAAACATATAAGCCCCCCCCCCCCAATATAAGCCCCCCTGTGTATAATCCCATCATATTTACTAACGCTCAGGCTATTCCGAATATAAGCCCCTCCCCCCTCTAAAGCCAGGCCTGTGTGTACAAGCCCATGGGCTTATATTATTTGACAGGGGCCGGTTGTATCAAGCCCGTTTAGCTTCATTTCTCATGAATCAGTCAACTTAAATATTCTGCACTGAATATGTAGTTGTAAACATCATTCTATTAAGGTTCAAAACTTGTAGTTTGGTTGTTGAATGAATCTATAGACTTGCTTTCTATTTTGAGCTTAAATGTTTAAGCTAAACAGGCTTGATACAATTGGCTCCAGGTATATTTATTAATGCAGCTTAGCCATACGTATTAGAATACAAGCCCCTGAGGGCTAGCTGGCCGGCTTATATTCAGAGGCCGGTTTACAATATCTCGCCCAACATAGTTTGTCAGAGTTCTATAAATCCCACAGTCATTAGAGGCCGGTAATATAGGAATGACAGGTGCATAATATGTGTGCCAGTCACCTTGGCATTGACCAACCTTATGCTCTGACAATTAACCTAAATTGATTGATGAAATGTTTGAGAGCAGTTTCAGGTTTCAGTGGTGGTGTCCCCAGTATTGGAGTAGAGCTCAAATTTCAGTTAGATATATTATTTGTGATTGTTGTGAACCTTCTCACTTAGATAATTTGTGATATATTGTAATTAAATGTAAAATGAAACTTTGGGGAGTTAAGAAATACAATTAATTGACAAGACTGTCCCCTTGACAAGTAAAATTGTCAGGCATTAGACTGCCTGAGTAAAATAATAAGCATGGGTGCAATTAACTGCTGTATGCTTTAAAGTTGGTTGCAAGCTTTAAAGTTGGTTGCAAGCTAGCTGGGCTTATAAATGCCAGAACTCATATGTGAAAAATGCTTGGATCAATTTATTTCATCCGTAATGAACCCATTTTTAATCCTTTAAGTGACAGTGCGCCCTACTACAATATTTTACTCCGTCCAATGCCAGACGATTTTACTCGTCAAGTTGAGAGTGCTGCCCCTCAATGGGTTCAGTTGCATTGCACCAATGCACCCTACTGTATATGTTCGTGTTACTTTGTCTAACGCCAACAATTTTACTTGTCAACAAGAGAGCGCAGTGGTACGTGCTGAATGGGTTAACATATAAATAATGTCCACTCTACAGTAAATTTCCCTGTAATTGAACTTTGGAGCCTGGTATGTGACTCACTATTTCTTCAAAGTGTGTTCTAATGATACTAGCTGTCACTATTTTATAAATATAATTGACATTTCTCATTTAGGGTGATCCGGGATGTAAGTCATGTGGACAAGTTCTTTGGAATGTTCAAATAACAAGAATAGTGGTGTTATGGTAGTGGTGGCACTTGCCAGACCTACCGTAACTGGAAAAACTAACAATGACTTTTCTCCAAAGTCTTATATCAGGCTTTTTTTCAGGGATTTTTTAGGGCCGTTAAACGGCCCCAAAAACTCAATCTTGAATATTTGAGTTTTGAAACTCAATCTTCTCGCCAAAGTTTCAGTGCAGTAAAAATGAAGTTGTTTGAGTTAAATTCGTGACGTGTGGAAATTAGTTTTCAGTTGGAAACCCGACAATTAAGAAAAAATGGCTGGAATTCATCTCACAACACAAGAAAAACTATGCATTCGCCATCTTTAACCAGTTTATAGTGTCCCTCAATGCCCCTGCTTTAACACATTCCGTCTCAACTACATTTGTTGAGTACAAGTGTCAGCCCCCTGGTAGGGGGGGGGGGGTGCAACCACCACAGCTGTTCAGCTAAACTCAATCTTCTCTGCAAAAACGGACCCAAGAGAAAATCCTGGAAAAAACCCTGTTATATGTACTACAAGAAATGGCCCAAGGCATCAAAACAGGGGACAGCCAAAGAATCACCCATGGAGCTACAGTTATAATGATACTCTATCACATATTGTAACTTGATTGTACAGTTATAATTATTAATTTGATAATTATTCTTTGAAATAATACAAAATTAATCATGATTTTGAATCTTTAATTTACAAACATGTTGCAGCTTGGTACTGAGTTTCATTAACAGTTAAACAACAGTGGCATGGACTCGTGCATTGTTGGAAAATTCTGCATCTCTATTGTTTTGGCACTATATTTTCATGACCAATTTTGTTGTTTTGACTTCATTTTGACCAAGTCAGTCAGGTTAGTAACTATCTTGTCTAACATTTAGAGATCTTGTCTTGTTCAAGTGAGATCTCAAACTGAGCCAGGTTATCCATGCAAATTGAAAGGAATTTCCACTATAAAAATATTAAAATAACCACACAGTAAAGTCTGGCTTACTGCAATATGGCAAAACTAGAGACTCACAATTAACTTAATATTTGAGGGATGGGGCAAACAAACTAATGGCCTTTTAAAGACACATACAACAAACTATCATACAAATAATACAATACAATACAATCAGAGAGCACATATTAAAACTACAATGTACAATTCTGGATATAAAACATGCCTTCTCACTTCAGCTGGCCCTACTAGGCAGCTGAGCTTTTTCCTGCACCAGTTCACCACAAGCTCATGCATAACAAAACCCTTGGCTAAATAGCCTAAATATATAAAACCTTAATTTCCTCTTTAATACACCAGAACATCATAGTTTCATCATACATGTACTGTTGTGCAACTCGATATTGCGAGGGATGAAATTATTGCATAAAGTTAATACAGTAAATACAAAAAGGTTTATCTACAACCACATTATAAACACTTGTGGCTTATTTTCTAAAAAATAGAGTACATTTTACCATTTATTCCTAACATTTTTTCATGAAATATTAAAATAAAAATGTGAATTTTAAAATGTTTACCTGTTTATAGTTGACTGCATGTTTATAGACTGCTGTTTATAGCCCGGCTTGAAATATCGTTTTTGTCCACATTTTGGGAGGTTTTAATAGTTGTTTGTTGTCTGTCACGGACGAGAATAACGTGTACGACTTTCACATCCTTGAACAAATGGTCAAACGTCGAAAAAATATGTCGAAAATAACAAAACAACAAGAATTCACTGCAAAACTCCGAAATATTTTTTTCAGAAACCAGGGGGGTGTGAAAACTGTGGCGGGCTCACAATTGAGCCTTGTTCAGTGGCAATTACCATGAATTTAGGGACCAGTAGTCATGGAAATGGCGTCATTTTCACTCAAAATCACTGAGCTCAAAATCCGCCATGTTTTTGGCTTCACTTGGTCACAGAGTAGAGACATACAGAGACGTAACTAGTGTACCCACTTTTTTTGTGCGCATGCTCGGCAAGTTACTAGATGCATGCATCTGATTGGATGACGACCTGATGACGACTCACTTTAAACTTGCTGAGCACGCGCAGTTGATCATTTTTCGCCCGGTCGCCTGAAAAAAAGTGGGTACATGATAACGTAATCTTCCGCAGTGTTTACAACGGTCAGTTACGTCTCTGTATGTCTTATCTACTCTGTGACTTGGTTGACTGAACGAAGTATAGGAGCAGGTCCTCCAGTTATTATACAGCTCAGTGGGGTGTTCCCATTTTTCACGCGCCATGCACGAAGAATACCCTGGGGACGAGGTTGAAGAGAGAGTTCACCAACCTCGTTCCCAGGCTCTTTGCTCTTGGGAAGCAAAGAGAGTTCACTGGATAGGAGCACCTCCTCCAGATATATTATAGCTCAGTGGCACTGATATTACCATGACAACAGAGTTTCCAAGATGGCGTCGTATTGGAGTGAAAGAAGAAATCCTCTTTTATCTTTAGAACAGATGCTGGCGGAAAAAACCACGCTACGAACACAAAAAGTAACGCATAGAAATATTATATGTAAGTTGTGTTGCATTGAAATATGTTGTGTTATGTAATTTGTGCGTATATATCAGCTTTATTAATATTAATCGCCCTATGCAGTATGCTGCTATGCACTGCACAATTTTATATATAATTTTGTTGCGCAGTTTCCGAACAATGAACGTTTCTTACCCTATTTTTGACCAACGAAGTTTACCAGAAGGTTTTAAACTTTTATATAAGTTGATTGACGTGTTTATTTATTTTATTTCATTTAAAACAAGTACATGTACTGTACATTTGATCAGTGGCGTAGCCAAGGGGGGGCGACCGCCCCCCAATCGAAAAAAAAATTCTCTGAAAAAGGCTAAATCCGTAGAGAAATTGGGGGGGGGGGGTGTACACATTACATCCTCGAAGCTGAAATTGATTAAGTACGTCTCGACTGAGGAAAACGACGATATACTGGAGGAACTTGATTTGTAAAATCTCGTTAAAGCAGTTGTAGATATGGTTCCAAGAAGAATAGATTTAGTTTAGATTTACATGTATGCATTATCATAGCATGAATATTCTTCTCAGAGTTATTCTGTATCGTATAAAAAAGCAACGCAATTTTGAGAATGCGGAAATGCTGTCTCATAGAAATTAGAATGATTTAAATGCAACATTTCTGATCAAAATCACATTCATTTGGGATTTTCTTCCCCCAGCATCACAGAGAGGAAATAAAGTGTCGCTGACCGGCTCCTCCTGTTTTTCAAAGTGACTTTTCCAATTTATTTAATTCCTAGTAGAAAATTAGAAATGTCTGGGAAAATTTATGTCTTCGATGTACTTTATAATCTTCGGAGTTCTGCAAGATTTTACCCCAAAATGCTTGGAATCGCATTTTAGGGACTCTAGATTTCAAAATTTTCCCAGGGGTGCATGCCCCTGGACCCCCCTAGATGGTCTTGCACCTTCGTCGTTCGCTTTGCCCCCTGCATTTGATAGCCAAGATTTGGTATTTATATATATATAAACTATCTATAAATGCCCAGCTTCCATACTGTAAAGTATTATTTTTATGTGGAGAATATTTCTGTGGTGCACAGCAGTTGTGTGGAAAGGAAGATAGAATATTTGAGAGTAGTTGTATTGTTGGAATGTCCATATTCATGTTGCCACGCATAACGTCGAATCGACGTTATGGGCATGGGCGTACCGGAAGGAAAAAATTAGGGGGGCGGAAAGAAAATTGCCCGACTTTTCGGGATTCTGCCCGACTAGTACCAAAAAATTTTTTCCGGAAAAATTATTGTGGCGACCTCCCCCCCCCCGTCGCCAAAAAAAATTCGGTCAGTGTACCATTTTAGGGGTCAAAAAATTTTTCCGGACAACCAATTTTTTCGGAGCATAACACAAATTTTCAAAAAATCACAAAATTTGCCAAAAAATTGACTTCATTTTAGACAAAATTGACAGAATTTGTCCCATTTTTTTTTATTGCAAACCAAAATTGCCCGACTGTTGCTCGAATATTGCCCGACTGCCCAAAAAACTGGGGGGGGCTGCCGCCCCGCCCCCCCGTCCGGTACGCCTATGGTTATGGGTGGGTGGGTTGTTACGTCAACTCCTCGATGTTATCTTGTGGCAATTTGACTATTTACATCTGAACAGACCGAAGTTTAAATATTTAATGTTTGCCGTGCAACTTTTGCCTTGAGTATTATATTATTTTCAACTAAACAAAGTCGAAGTATTGAAGCGACGTTTTTTTCGTGTCAAATACCGGTCAATTTGTGTTGAACTTCGCGAATCGCGACATTTTTCTGCGATAAAACTTCTCATATTTTACAATAAAGAGCCTGCATTAATTGGCGCCAACGAAGGCAAGTACAATTATAGTCAATACTTTTGAATTGAAGCGCCTCAGCATTTTAATGCATTTCTGAGATAAATTGATTGATTATATACCATATTTCAGTTGCCATTTTGATTTTGAGCTCTTTTAGCGGTCAAAATACGACAGGGTAACAATCGACGTTATCTGAGGTGGATGGGTGGGTACTGGTCATAACGTTACGTCAATTCGATGTTATGCATGGCAACATGAATATGGACGTGGCCCCTAAGACTTGTGAAAGTGCTTTTTATATCAATTTGAAATTCTTCACCCTCTGTGCAAAAATGTCTTCAAATGCCCCACTGTAACAAGAAATTAAGCATTCAAATGCCCCACCTTCATATGAAAATGATGAAACAGTATAAAATACAAAAAAAAGTACAAAATATACGGAAATGTTTTTTTGGAAATCTACTTAAATTAAACAGTTTGGAAACCTTATGGAAATTCAACAGTTTTACACAGTTTTATATTACATACCTTCAAATGAAGCAGATACTGTATAGCTTTTCCATGCCCATTTCTTTGAGCCAGTTTTTCACAAAATTGAGCCCTTTTCCCTCAAAATCTGAGAAAACTGTATTTGCCGCCAAAGTCTTTTCTGTTTAATTTATAGCCTGCATGCAGGAAGTGCATGAAAAGAGGCAGAAAAGACTTCCTGTTCAAATTAATTCCCCACCCTTATCAAATACCCCACCGCATCGAAGACTTAGAACGTCAAATTCCCCACTCCCCAAGAGAAGACTTGAAGTCAAATTCCCGGTATATGCCCGGGGAGGGGGGGTTGAAGTTTCAAATTGATTTGTACATTATAAAAAGCAGATTTGCAAGACTGTTATGTTGCAATAAGCCTCTTTTACAGCAGCCATGGCTATATTCTGCAAAAGTTACAGCATGTAAAGAATGTTAGTGTGAGATTAATTGACCCATCTATAAACATTAGGCATACACAATGCAATGTGGGATACATGTAGGTCAAATATTCCATGTTTGATATTGACATGATCAGGGCCATCGTGAAGAGGCAGCCAGGCAGGTCAGATTTGATTAGTCAACAAAATCCTTCATTTTGCTGACAAGATGTTTTCGGGGTCACACCCCCAACACAAGCAAAGGCTCTGGATGTGATTTAAGGACTTTGTTGGGTAATTCCATGTCAATTCATCCAGAAACTTTGGATATTGACAAGTAAAAATCCAATATTTCAGATCTCTATCTTTAATAGTTTTGGACTTATGGGCTATTATATTTGCCAGGGGAGATTTGTTCATAAAATACAGGGTTCATGTGCCCCTTGGAAATCCTGGAAAACCTTACATTTAAATTCTTGTTCTGGAAACCACTTAATTGACAAGTCCTGGAATGAGTTAAAATCCAAACTAGCCCGCGTGCAGGCCCAAGGGAAGAATAGTGGGCAAGCAAGCAAGGCCAGATATTTTGTACTTTCCGCGTTCGCCCACGAACGCGGCATTCTGATTGGCTGTTTGCTGTTGGATTCTATAATTAGATCAGTGATTCATCACAAAGGCTCTCGATAAGCTTAAAATTCGAAACTTGATCACTTTTTTCGATTAAAAATGGAACAAGAACAGACTGTTTATTGTTTACTGGAAGGAAGAGATGTTTTTGCCGTTATGCCAATGGGGATTGCTTGTCGTGAAGTGTTGGAATAGCAACATTACGACTGGGGTAAATTATAGTAACGTTAACCTTTACTTTAGTCTGCCCCCCCCCCCCCCCCGCAGTGGAAGGATTAATCCCGCGGGGGAGCGGGATGCAGTCTGCGAGCAGACTACCTTTACTTGAGTTTCATTAATTTCAAACAGACTTGATACGTTATATGTTCCTCAGGAAAATTATCTTTTGGTTGATGTTGACTCTGTTCTTGCGCTGAAATGTAAGTCCTATTCGAAACACTTTGCGATTTGCAAGGCTTCGTTGAGAGATCAGAGCGAAACAGAAGGGCGTTGTGAAAACCCGGAATGCCGGAATATGGCGGAATATCACGGAATATCACGGAATATGCCGGAATATGGCGGAATATCACGGAATATGGCGGAATATCACGACATTTTCCCGGAATATACTGGAACATCACGATATTTTCCGATGGTAGCCATGCTACTGTTTATAAATATGGACGTCTGACAACATATTTTATTACAAAAGTGATAGATCTTTCCCCATTTGAAGATAAGTAACAAACAATAACTCTATACTGGAAGTTTTATATTTGTTGTTTATATATCATTATTACGAGTGTTCACCAAAAATTTTGAATCAATACGATTAATTCCTCCAGAGTTACAGCGTCTTGAAAAATAAAAGTGCTGACGTCAGCATTATTTTCGAACGCCTTCCGAAATGTGATATACACAAAATTTAAATGGTTACAAATTCTTGGTTACGGTTAAGACGGGTTAAGACGGTTAAAAATGGCCATTTTTAATATACCACCAAGCATTTGTTCAAAAATCAAATGCTAAAATAAAGGCAAGTTTGAGCCAGGATGTTTAAATTCTTGTTTATACCAGGTAAGAAGTCCCGTCTTAACCGTAACCAAGAATTTTTAACCATTTAAATTTTGTGTATATCACATTTCGGAAGGCGTTCGAAAATAATGCTGACGTCAGCACTTTTATTTTTCAAGACGCTGTAACTCTGGAGGAATTAATCGTATTGATTCAAAATTTTTGGTGAACACTCGTAATAATGATATAAACAACAAATATAAAACTTCCTGTATAGGGTTATTGTTTGTTACTTACCGTCAAATGGGGAAAGATCTATCACTTTTGTAATAAAATATGTTGTCAGACGTAAACAGTCGCATGGCTACCATCGGAAAATATCGTGATGTTCCGGTATATTCCGGGAAAATGTCGTGATATTCCGTGATATTCCGCCATATTCCATGATATTCCGCCATATTCCGTGATATTCCGCCATATTCCGTGATATTCCGCCATATTCCGGCATTCCGGGTTTTCACAACGCCCCGAAACAGAAGATAATTGCCGTTTGAAACGAAACGATCTGGACTCTGAACGCTCTCTTCTTTTGTTGAGTTCTTTACCAAATGAAATAACTGAAATAAATTTCGTACTTTCCGCCGCCAACAAGAATTGCACACACGATCTGATAAGTGAGACAATTTATTTATAATAGCCTGCGAACAGGCTCTCAAGCTGAATTGAGAGCCTGCATCGATGACTAATGAATTTGAATATCTGCGTCTCAAATCGCGACGCGAAATTCTCATTGGTCAGATGCTATAATTTATATGTTTCCGCTGAGCTCTATATATGTCAACTGCTGAAGCACTATGCATAAAAAACACATTAACTGATCAAATTGGTCTTGGCCATCTTAACTCAAAGCACGAAATGTTCTATTTTGAGAAAACAGTAATAGTATTTAAAACATTTGAACTTTTGCTTGATATTTTTAATTTCGAAAAACAGTGTAAACTGTACGGTCTAAATTTAGTTTGCACGGTCTAAATTTAGTTTGCACGAAAGTTGTAAACAACACCATATAAGGATAGACATTCCATATTTGGAAAAACGAACGTTACGGGGCAGATATTCAAAATTGTATATCATCAGTGCAGGCTCTCAATTCAGCTTGAGAGCCTGTTCGCAGGCTATATTTATAACAATGGCAACAGCGAAGCACACATTAATGCTAATGTGGAGTTTGAGACTGGTTTTCTGTTGAAATTCGTCCTAATTTGCCTGTTCCGATTTTAGTTGAAAATGAGTACTTGCAAATTTGGCAATTACTGACTGCGTTGCTTACTTTTTTGGAGTTAAAACACAGCCATTTACACATTGTTTATGTTATGAATATTAAAGAAGAGAAAACCCCGCAACATTTTAATGCGAGTTTGTTTGTTAATATTTGGGTTGCTGTCATTGGTTCTTTTTTGACAATTCACGCGCGAATGGGTCGTGTTATGAAAAGGGGCGTTTTACAAAATACCGGGCCTTGCTTACAGCCTTACAGGCCCACTATTCTTCCCTTGGGCCTGCACGCGGGCTAAATCCAAACTGAAGACCTGAAAAACCCTGGAAAACTAAACTTGTGCATATAAGATAAAATTATGTGAACTAATTGGACATTCTGTTTTAACATAAATTATTAAATTGATTATATTATACAAAACTTTCTTGCACATAGTATATCAGCCTTTTTCAATTGTGATTATTACTTGATAATGATAGCTGCTATATTATACTAATAGTGAAATACGTGTTAACGTTGACTTACTTATTGATGAAAGGACACTTTTGTCATACACATATTTCAAGTACCCCTGGAAAATAATTGGGCCGCACTGGATATCATGTCTGGCTGGATAGACTGAGATAATTTCAATATCCAGGATCCACGGCAGGATTTTAGAAGTATCCAGTCGAATACTGGATATTAATTGTTTTGTATATATAAGGTAGGGAAGTCTAAAGTATAATATTTTTACTTGAAATGATTATACATAGAGAAGCTAGCAGAGTACTGTCATACTTGTTTACGAATACGAAAAAGTGGACAAGGCTTTTGCAAGTGGAGGCTTTCACAACTAGAACTTTTATATTATTTTACAATTATACCAGGTATCGGGACAGATCTTTTGAAGGAAATTGAAGCATTTATGAATAGTGATAAAAATGAAGCAGTGAAGAAAGCAGTGAGTAAACACTTATTCCATTGATAGTTAACACAGATATAACATCACACAATTTAAACAACTGTTGTTAAACGTAAAGGATGTAAACTACAATAAACTTTAAACATTGTAGCAGCGCTTGGCTGTTTCATCTAATTCTTTCAAAAGCAAAAAGTTAATTATCATAAGTTAATCTCACTTATATCTTAGTTTTAGTTTAACGTGTTTTCTGAGGTGGATGGGAAGCCTTAACAGGTTTTACAACCCAATTTGAATATACTGTTTATCACACTCTTGCCCCAATGGCATCACTTTCATGTGGTTATTTCCTCATGTTTCATGCACAATAGGGTGAAGGATAGGTTTGGGTTCACGATCAATGAGAAACATGATATTTTGCATGAAACATGGGGATATAATAAACAGTAAAGTCTATATATTGACGAAAGTCTCTGCATGAGAGTTACTTAGTTATGAACTGGGGGTTAAGGTGCGAACTGGAGACATTTCAAAACCTCAGCTTATCAAGAAATTTTCCCCAAAACACCACGAATACTCTCTAGATCACGACAGACGTGCTAAGGTGGACATTTTTTGTTGCAATTGCGGTGTAACTGTTGTTTGTGTAGAATTACTGTATGAGGAAGCTTTGTGATGAATTTTAAAAAGTTGAAATTGTTAGACTATGAGTGCCATTTCCAACTAAATGTGCCAGAATTTAAGTCGTTCGGCAACTACAATTACGATTAGCATTTAATCTATAGCGCAAAATTACTGTACCTGTGGATATGATCAAATGCGCTTTACATCGAGTATTACGCTTACCTAATTTTAGCCTAGACTATTTATCTTTACAATAATTACCTGACAGACTGACTGTACTTTCTTAACTGTGTTTATCCTAACCCACCCTGTCAACTCTCCCTGTGGGAAGAAACCGGACTACCCGGAGAAAACTCACGACTTTCGGCGGAACTTTAGCTGATTCTTCACATGAGCCCTTGCGAGAATCGAGCCCACTTACACAGACCTAGTATGCAAGCTACTGATTACATCTTTATTGAACGTCTTGTTTGAAAGTTGTATGCTAGGCTTTAGTAAGAACATTCGACCGGAATTCGAATATTTTTTATTGAAAAGTTATGATTCTCACAATAATATTCCCACCAAAATATGTACTGAACGTATCACGCCATTTCTGTGTTCATTTTCTCAACCAATCATTCCCTCCTTTCTATCACTATAGATAAAGGAGACAGAAATTAAACTGTTAGAAGAAAGGAAAAAGATTGTTGATGAAATCATCGAAAATATGACACGAGAAAATAGGGAAGCTTTAGACAAGGCCAAAAAGGTTAAAAAGTTGACTGAGACATATAAAGTGGTCGTTTTTATAATTGTACTACTATTAACTTCCCGTCTAAGTTCTCTCATTGCATTTTTCTGGTATAGTCGCATCCTTATTACTGATCCGAAGCTTTTGTATGTTTATATACAGTTGCGTAGCCAACCCGACAATTTGGCCATGCTATGCAAATATTTCCGTGTTCGTACACCGTGAAAACAATCGATTTCTAAAGAAATGAATAATGATAATGATTTAATATTTGCATAGCATGACCAAATTGTCGGACTGGCTACGCCACTGTCTATATATAAGGCCAAAAATTATATTAATTGCCATGTGGACATAATTGCTATGAAAGGCAATTTGTAAACGTCTGTTTTAACTTAGTCAGATTCAAACTTTTTTACATTACTAAAGTTTTCCTTACGTTAAACTTTACAACACTCCTAGACAATATATCTGCGACACTTTCAGGGTTTTTTCCCCACTTTTCTACCATCATGGCAAAACTAACAAGACCCTCCCCCCACCATTCAATGTTGACTGCTTGCCCACAACATATTTAAAGTAATCATGATATGTTCAACATTGTTTTGGGGGCGGGGGCATTACATTAAGAAATATCGCAGTAACGGCGAGTAACGTTTACGAGCAGGATTTAAGCGAGTGTCGACGTCGCAGATGGTTTTGTCCAGGATGTTCAACACTTGCTACAATTTTAGAATATATCGCGTTATTGACCCAACTTCCTCCTTTTCAACTGCGAATAACTTCAAAAAAATGTTTTAGCGCGCAGAGAAAGAAATAGAGATCGTGAAATATCGTTGTGAAGTCGCTGAGAAGAAGCGAGTCAGGTTGGCGCAGCAGAAATACGAAAGAGAAAGAGGAGATGCATTAAGAGAGGCTGCAGAAGAAGCCAGAAGGTTACAAAAAGAAGCTGTCGAAATGGCTGAACGTCAGTTGAGAGAACTAATGTTAGCAGAAGGTGAAGAGAAGATGAGGAGAGCTGTTGAGAAAACAAAAGATGAAATGGAGGTGAGTATGTTGATGCATGGAAAAGTTGAATGGATTGAGTAGCAACATGATTAATTCCTTTGGTACAAAAAAGTATTCCGAAAAGTTAGTTCGAAATACTATGTGTAGAAAACATTAATCTAGTGCATGACGTTTACATTATACATTTATTTACTTTTAATAACGTTATTGGTTCTGTTATAATCACGTGAGCTGTCACGTGAGCTGTCACGTGAGCTGTCACGTGAGCTGTCACGTGGTGAGACGATTAAAAATACACGTGTAGGAAATTGGAAGTTAGTTGGGATAAAACGGACAACATGTAAATTTATGTTGCGTTATTTTATATTAAAATAACTATATAAAAGACAAGTGTGAGAGTGCTCTTTACATGGACGCCGATAGGGGACACGGCAGAACATCATACGGAGTACGAGGTATCAATAATTGTGCGTTTAACTCGACGACAGTGTTACAGTGAACACGAGCCTGTGAGTCATTCGCGAGCGTGTCGGTTGGTCGATATCGTGGTTAGAGGTAAATTCTTTCCTTTTGAGAGATCCCTTTGGGGTTGTGCATTGTTCTGAAGTGTATAGGTTTTATGATATAGTAAAGGTTAGAAATTCTATATATTTTTGTGTCTAATTGTGATACGTAGCGTTGTATTGTAAAAACGCGTCCACAGTGTGTATTGTGTAGTCGGTATCTCATATTTGTTATGGAGGGAAAATTAGCAAGGGCTAAAGGCAGACACCTTGGTCTCGACGCGTATTTGAAAACTCTTTTAAGTGAATTAAACGAGTATGTTTCTTCGGAATGCGGTGATTGCGAGCAATCTAAACTCCTTGGGTTGAGAAACAATGTGGCTAGTATTATCGAACAATTGGCGACTGTGCACAGTGAAATATTATCCTTGATAGATCCAAAGGACATTGAGCCGAAAATTATTCGTCACATGAAAGTCTTAGAACTTAGTCACCAAGTTTTGGCAAAGGCGGATTTGAAACTTGAAGAAATTAAGCAAGGGCAAAGTAATATTAATAGCGCAAGTTATTCCTTAGGCGCAGCCGGTTTAAGCACAAATAGAAGTCCTGCGCATTGTAGACTGCTAAAATTAGCATTACCAGAGTTTACGGGGGAACCCTTAGATTGGCAGGGGTTCTGGGATTTTTTTTTTTTGATTGATTGATTTATTTGCCAAAACAAAAGAAAGACTGTTAGCTATTTACAAGATATTAATAAAATAAAGTCGGCGAGGAGACCTCAAGAAGCTTAGAGCTTGTGTAAAGAGGCCACCTCATCTCAAAAATTCAAAGTTAAATATTTAATTAATCGGTATAATTTAGGGTTACAGACATAATATAAAATTGAAATTAAATTACAGACACATATAATGAAATTGAAACATAATGAAGTTTATAATAAGAGAGAAAATTTACGAAAATATATAATAGATTTTCCAATAATTTTATATATTATTACTGAATATTCGATAAACATGGTCGTAGCATATTGATCAGAGTTAGCTGTTCCTTATTCGCTAAGCAGAAAATTACGAAGTTGCATCTTGAAAGACGAGATTGTGTTTATCGCAGTTATATTTGTAGGTAAAGAATTCCAAATATTCGGTCCTGAGTATAAGATGGTGAACTGCTTAATATTAGTTCGACAAGCATGAGATCTATAGTTACCGGCAGATCTGGTGTTATAACCATGTATTTGATTGTTTATTGTAAACAGATTATCAAAGCATGTTGGCAACATGCAATGATGATATAAAAAACATAAACTTGCCAATGTGAAATGTATTTAGCTTAAATATATCCAATATTTTGAGTTGTTTAAAAA